TAAAACGCATTGGTTGCCCATCGTATGCACATCGCTGGATAATGTGACTGATACTTTTAGGACTACTTGGCCGATGTGTTACGATGTTGGGGCATCGTTAACACCACGGATTACTACCGATTACCACCGGTCTACGGCTACCGGCCGGGAAATGTGACCTAGGCATAAGCTATATATTGATAAATGGATGTGTTTGTTTTTTTTCGTTTTTTTGAATATTGTAGGTTTAGGGTCATCATTTTCACTCGGAAGAATTATTATTACCCAAGCTTTAGTTAACTGTTTTGAGTTGAAAAAAAATTAAAATTCCAATAGTTTATGATTTGGAATGTGATAATCGATTTTGTCCAATACAAACTCAATAAAGAGATGCATAAGTAGGAAGACACTCTATCGTTTTGTTCCTTATAAACTCAAACTGTCAAACAAGCTTAAGAAAGAGATAATTTAAATTGTAAGTAACACAAAAGAGGGTTTAATGGTAGGTTTATGTAGTTTGCATGTTAAACACCTTCAAGGTTTGCTTTAAGGTGGCCTAATTGATGATTAACCGTTTATCTAGAAGTAACCATTAAGCATGTATTACCGGTAGACTTCTTTAAGTAATCATTCAGTTGTCTTTAAACACCAATGTGAACTTTGCAATGATTTCCTAGTGACTTTAAGTTGATGACTAATTTCTAATTACCAATTACTAAATTAATTAGCAATTACTAATTAATAAATAATTGATAACTTACTGGTGCTTGAAAAAATTAAATGTTTAATTGGCGTGCAACAATTTCATTTGATGACTATTTAATTCTCTTCGGTTTTTGTTGATACATAAATCAATATCAATACAAGTTTCCTTTGATTTTAATCAACTTGTTATTTCTTTACTTGCAAAACTAAATTATAATTGCGATATTATCAGCTTATCAAACATGTATGTTCATGAACATTCATATGAATAGGGATATTTGCAAAATTTGTCCTACCCGAAAAATATTTCCGTATATTTATATATATTTAGAATTGTTCCGGTTCTAGATATGTTAATATTGGTGAAATGTTTTTATTTCCCTGATATGATCCATGTACATAGTGGTCTGAATAACTAAAGAACACATTAAATTGATTCTATAAAAGCTGTTTTATCTGAGATACATTCCTGGGGTCAATATTAATTGCTAGAAAGATTAATACTTGTACTTTTTATGACAAAAACATTTATGAAAATATGCCCATGGTATGAACACTTATTCATCGAAATTTGATTTTCAAAAAAATGTAAAAGGCTAAAAGCGCATGTCTTTATGTCCTGCGTTATATGCTATCGGACTTTATAAAACCGCAACACACTTTTTTTCATTAGAATCATTTTTCAAAAAATATTGAAAACTTTTCTTGCAAATCATTAAACTTCTTCCGCCATACATAGTGTTGATTTTTAAAAACCAACCACCTGACTTACCTGCGCTCATTGTCTGCACGATGTGAGTAATATTGTAATATTATGGCTGAAATATTTAGGCATCTTTTCAAAACACATTGAATTAAAGGTGAAAAGGGGGTTTTGTAGTTATCAATCAACTTTGTTGGTGAAAGTATAGTCCCCACTTACAGAAGAAATCGAAATGAAGGAAGTTAACCATTTGGTTAATTTGTAAGTTATGCAGATATTTAATAAGTTGGAGAGTCTTATAATTGTATGACGCCAGTACTAGATTAAGCCAAGGCTTGTTGGTCAAGTCGAACAATATAGTTATAGTGATAACCGATCTTAGTACATGTTTCACACCTCAAACAAAGGATTTTTGCTGCTACCAAATCACTTGGTACAACTCTAGCCCAAGCTTCATGGTTGGGCGACTCTGCCATTGTGTGCATAATTATTGAGCAAATAATTACCAATGATAGGTTATTACAATCATGGACACATGGCAAGGTCACCAGACAATCACCAAACATCCAGCCAAATCATTATACCCATTTTTTATCATATTATACTTCATGATTAATTGTTGATTAAGGTCTTCCGTCTTCAGTGGAAGACCTTATTGTTTTTCTAAGGTTTATTTTCCACTATTTTTATATTTTTTTCTTACCGATTTTGTGCGCGCGATTTCTCGAGAAGGGCTCGATTGATTTTCATGAAACTTTCAGGTCTGATAGAACATTTAAAAAATCTATCTATCTATTATTTTATTTTAATGACGTCACTTTCGGTTCGGAGTTTTCTGCGATTTAGTGATTTTTAGAGGGTCACTTTGTCCGGCAGTTTTTTCAAAAAGCACTCAACACAGAAGCATGAAATTTTCAGTGATGCTAGAGCAACTTTTGGAGAAAAACCCTTTGTATATCACAACTACCGGAAGTACGAATCGTCGACGCTCGCCATGGCCCGAAAATAGTCCTATCAAGATTTCAAAATATTTAGCACCTTTTCTACGATAACTTTTTACCTAGACATATTTTATTAAAGCATGTAGAACAAAAAAAGGTGTAGAATTCCAAGTTCTTTCAAATGACATCTCGAAAAAAGGGCTGGCCACTTAAATTAAGGGCCTGGAGCGGCCAAAAGTTTTTCCTTAATATCTCAAAAAGTATTGAGAATTTGTGATACATTAAACAAGCAAAGTTGTTCAAAATGTCAAGCTTAATCTACTAGAGTCGTCAAAATACGTCCGGCATCGTCACTTCCGGCCAAACCGGAAGTAGTCGGAAAACGCGTATTTTGCCGTTCTTGACAAGTTTTTTGGTAACATATGTCTCTGGGAGCATTAAAATTAATTTTCCGTCCGTCGTCGTCACTTCCGGTCACACCGGAAGTAGCAAAAAATGCTTATTTTTGCATTAATTAACATGGTTTCGAGGATTCAAAATTTTTTGGCGTTATTTCTAATTTTTGTTAAAAATGAAAGCTACTTCCGATCAAACAGGACGTAAGACCTACTTGTTGCTATGCAACGAGCTTTGCTCTAGTTCTTAATATATTTGTCATCACTAATTAGAAATGCAGCGTTCATGATGCGTATACTTTCAGGAAAGAAGAAAGAATTTCTCTTGAATACAAAACTAACAACAAGATAAAATTGTAGTTATGTTCATGTGTTCAATCATTTTAAAAACTTGAAATTACAAAAAAGAAATAAATAATGTTTTTCTAAAAATCCAAATATGTAACAAATGTGGCAAACTCTGTAGTATCCTTTATTTCAGGCTCACTGGGATATGCTGTGTCGACATAAGAATGGAAATTACAATAATTGTTAATTGACAATTCGTGTTCGACATGTGTACATTTGTATATATTCTTTTTAGTAGTATCTTCAGAGTACTTGTACAATGAGGATGTGTTTTTAACAAAGTAATTTTGCAAACAACAAGTAAAAGGTTAAGTAGATTCTCGAATTCCATTTTTAATAGAGAAGAAAACAATAAAAGCAACAATTAAGTAACGAGAAATAATAAACAGAAGAATGAGATTAAAATCAGGTTTTGACAACAAAGTAACAAGATATTAATGCATAGAATTAAGTAGTCACAACTGTACATATCCTGGACGTTAAACTACAATTAAACAATCAAAACACAGTTCAAATGGGAATAAACATATCAATTTGATATTTAACGTTAGCTAAGGTTCACGTAGTCTATTGCTACATGTAGTTAAAGCTAGTACAAATTAAGTCACAACAAAAAATAAAAAATATTTTTATATTGATTGATTGATTGTATACTGTTTAACGCCATATATTTCAATTTATATTTGTTTCTCTGTCGCAACTCTTAGAAAATTAGGCCAGTGGATTTCTTAATACTTCAACCTCAATGTAAAAATTGCCAAAAGAAATGTCAGGAACTATGAAAATATTAATATACATGTAAATCTGTGTCTGCCTTTGGTCTGACGTTAGGAGGCGGGGATTATTGAAATTGACGTGAGAGGTTTTGTGTAATTTAATATATTTGACAATATTTCTTAGATGTACATTTACAATTTTATAAATCCCCTACCTGTGAAACCGGAGGGGATTATAGCTTTCTTCTGAGTCTGTCCGTCCGTCCATCTAGCTGTCCCCATATCTGTTTCTCAGTCTGTTCTACTTGGTTCTCCGCACTATTGTCTAAACGCTTGCAGATATTTCGCTGATTTTTGATATGTGAGTGTAACTTGATGAGTTACAGATCACGTTTGAATTTTGTACCCCTTCATTGGTTTTTGACGGAATTAGGGCATTTTTATTTTTTTTTTTACACTTGGGATTACGATCGGGTTTGTTATACACTAAATTAATGTTCCAAACGAGTTTGAATCCTAAAGAGAAAAGGTGAACCCTGAAGTGTACATATATTGTTTAAGCGTACTCTCAGAATGCTTGTTTCAGAATAATAATATGGAAATATAAGGAATTTCTGTTTACTTTGTTGGGTAGACCAGGGACATCAACAACAGTTGAAAACATGGGATAATATATGCACAACGGTCTTCGTAATTACAAGTTAGTTGGTGTCCCCCAAGGGTTCCCGTATTTGACCCATGATAACCAAATAAGAAATTTAAACAAATGACAAAATGCAATTTTGTTCTGAAATTATATTCTTTGTTTGTGTTCTTTTTTTTTTTTTTACACAAATTGATTTTATTATCTATTTAATATTTTTGTTTGTCAACTTCTATAGATGTTATTTCTATAAATACGAATAATATGTATATTCACATTAATAGCTTTAGTGTAAAAAAATGTGTTTATACATTAACGAGCTCTATCATACATGTAAGAACTAACAAAATATACATAGTGCTTGAAACATATTTCCGTATATATTCCAAGTGGAGACTTTCTAGTTATAGATATGTTAATGTTTTTGAGTCTACTTCCCTAAATGAGTCGTGAACATCCATGTTTTATCACCACAGAATGCTTTAGTTCCAATAACTGGGACATCATAAAACAATTTGGTGCCATTCTTAATCGTAAGGATGTGCCGGAATATATCAATTGCTTTTTAGTGATGTTAACATGTGTGCTTAAAATGCACATGAAATTAACCGCACCTAATCACTAAAGGTTGATTTTAAAACTATTTAATATTTTGCAGATAGCTTCCTGATTCAATAGAGCAGACAAGTTTGTTGATTGATAAGCCATGGAGATTGTCAAAACATTCTTGTTTATAGCCTTTTCTTCAGCTTTCTTTCCATTAATAAGTGTAGCCACTGAACCGGGCTTAGGAATTTGTGGAGGGTAAGTATTTGTTTGTAATTTTCTAATTAATCAATTGTTGATCAAAATGTCTGCAATATCTGTTTTATTTTATTTTTAAGATAATATACGCCTTGATTGATCATTAATTGAAATTTTCGATCAAATTAAGCAAGAAATATTGTAGTTTATTTCTCAGATTGCATGATAACCATGTAATTGAAGATTTAAATCTAAGGTACAGTACACATATTTGGTGAAAAAAATATTGGAAAAATTACTATTAGCAATTTTACGCATAAATAAAAATTGCTAATTTATGATTTAAAACATTCTCAACAGGAAGGACTCTTCAGTGATTTTAATTAAATAACTTGCAGAAATTAGATGCTTATATTTTGCAAAACCTAAGGGTCTATGACCCACTATCAGATCTGGCAAAAACTTATTCTTGGTTTAAACCAAGAATAATTTTTTTCATATCTGATTGTTGTTATATATCCTATTCTGTCTCTCTGTTTGTCCACAAAAAATTTTAAATTTGTCCATAACTTTTGATTTAGTAGAGCTGTGACTCATATTTCACATGTGTATTCCATGTGACAAGACCTTTCTTTGGGTACCACCAAATTTGACCTTGACCTTGGAATTTGATCCACTCCTACACAAAAATTCAAATTTTTACTTTGGCCATAACTTTTGATTAGTAGATACAAGGACATTTATACCTCAAATATATATTTTTTTGTGGCAAGATCTTTAACTGGATACCACTAATCTTGACCTTTTGACCTTGACCTTGGAGAGTTACGTAATAACGAATAAACTTTAACCTTGGCAATAACTTTTGAACAGTGAGGGTTAGAGCTTTCATATTTCACATATGTAATTCTTGTAAGAAGACACTTTATTGGATACTAAGAACGTTGACCTTTGACCTTGACCTTGGAGTTTGATCTACTTTTAAAAAAATAAACCCTGATCATATCTTTAAAAGGGTAAAAGCTAGTGCTTTCATGCTTTACATATTTAATCCTTGTGACAAGACCTTTCATTTGAAATCAAGACCTTTGACCCTTTAACCTTGACCTTAGAGTTTGACATATTTTTAAAAAAATCTCAACCTTGGCCATAACTTTTGAACAGTTAGGGCTAGAGCTTCCATACTTCACATATATATTATTTGGAGCAAGAGCATTCATTGGATACTAATAACCTTGACCTTTTGACCTTGACTTTGGAGATTTCCGGACTTTTGAAAAACATTAACCTTGGCAATAATTTTTTAAGAGTAAGAGCTAGGGCTTTCATTCTTCATATATGTATTTCTTGTGACAAGACCTTTCATTCAATACTAAAAACCTTGATCTTTTGACCTTGATCTTGGAGTATAACCTAGTAATTTAACATTTTTAACATTGGCCATAACTTTTGAAAGGTTAGGGCTAGGGTTTCCATACTTCAAACATGTGATCTTTGTAGTTATTTTATTTTATACCAATAACCTTAACCTTCTGATCTTAATCTTGAAGATTTCTGTACTTATGAAAAAAACTTTAGCCTTGCCATCACTTGGGAACAGATGGTGATAGGGCCTTCATGTTTTACAATTGTATTTCCAGTTAGGAAACCCTACTTTGGGTACCAATTAATATATTAAATGTGCATCTAACAAATGTTCAGTCTTCACAATGTTGCCATACGGGGGCATCAGTGTTTCACAAATACATCTTGTTTTTATTTTAATTCTGGCTCTTTCCTCTTTCGAAATATTTCCTGCCTTTCTTAAAGCAAAAAAATATGAAAAAGGTGTTACGACTCTGGCTTGTTAAACTTATCCTACTCTCAATTTCAATTCTAACAACAGTTTGTGGAGGAACTTCGGTACTGGTCTTTTTATTTATTAAAGAAAGTGTGACAATTGTATAATTTTATATAAAAGAGACTGTCTTCTCTTTGAGTCCACAGAATTAATGACGATATGCGTAAGTATCTTGCCTCAGATAAAAAACACTTGAAATTTCTTTCGTCGAAAAGAATACTTTATGAATCATATTACACGTACGTTGCATTGCTTATTATGTTCCCCAAACGAAGTTGGGGAACATATTGTTTTTACTCTGTTTCTTATTATTATTATTATTATTATTATTATTATTATTATTTTTCTTCTTCCTGGGAAAATTTTGTCCACGAGTGATCTTGTAAACTACACATCCGACTTAGGTGAAACCTTTTTAGGGTTAGTAGGCATGTTATGTAGAGTTGCCAAACAAAGGTCATTTTGCGCGCACGTGCTTGCAAGAGCGCGCACGTGCATTAGGTGAAATTACCAATATAATGGATATTGCCGTAACTTTTCTATTTTTTGATTAAATTTTTTGAAACTCATAATGTAAGGATACATTAGTAGTATAGACAAGATAGCATGGTCAAAATAGCAAGATTTCACGCGCATGCACGTGCGCTTTGCTCTGATTGGCTGAAACTAAAGTATCAATAACTTTCTTGTTTCTTGTCATAATCCTTTGAAATTTTGAACATAGTCCTATATTATAATGGTCTACCGCATGATATATAAGAATTTTCATGAAAGCATGCGCATGTGCGTGTGCTGCAAGCTGATTGGCTGAAACTTTAAATGGCTATATCTCCTTTGTTTTTTGACGAGATTCTTTGAAATTTCAAATATAGTCATGCATTGGGATATCCTACAAAATGATATAGAAAAAAAATCATGAAATCACGTGCATGCACGTGTGCTGCAATTTGATTGGCTGAAACTTTAAATGGCTATAACTCCCTTGTTTTTCATCCAAACAGGATGGGATTTAGAACATAGATAGATGTAAGGGACTCCTACAAGAAGGTATGATCATCATGCACGTGCACGCACGTGCGTGCATTTGAAACGAGTATATTTAAAAATACTCTTGAAAGACAAGATGATATGGTCATAACGCACATGCATTCACATGCGCTTGGGTGCAATGCTAAATATTGAATATAATTGGTATCCTTCTGGAAAAACGTTGTTAAAGTCAAAAATGCACAGAGTTTGTCTTATTTAATGAAGCTTACAGGAAATATGGCACCGAAAGGAAGTTGGGGAGCGTTTGGGGAACATCTGTAACGGTTCCCGTTACAATTAGCACTAGTTAATATTATGTTGTTAACATGTCCACCCCACGTGATCTACTGACTTCATATCAAAGCAAAATCTCCATCCACATGTCATAAAGCCCAGATCATAGTAAATATGTTGATTTCATTTGAACTTGCATGGATCGTAAAGAGGAACGTCATAAATAAACATCAAACGACAGCTCATTGTAATATTTCAAAGACAGAACGATTTGCGAAACTTGTCATTTAATTTTTTTGTAGTGTTTCATACAAGTTTGAACATGATATGGCATTTAGTAAAACTTAATGACTGTAGTCCGCTAATGTTTCGAACAATCCTTTTCTTATGCTTTAGATTAACGAGGGCTGTAATAAAAGTTTGGGGAAAGTGAAAGTACTGACCAGACCCAACCAGACACCCAACCAGTCCAAGACTGCTTATACACGCTCTGGGAGTGCTGTTGGTCTGCTGTTTGACTGCTCTAGAAAGCAGACCCAACAGTCCCTGGGGCTGCTTTGCTCACTCTTGCGTGATGAAGGTTCTTAGTGACATGATAGCTCGAGTCCTTGTGTATTCTGAATTTGCAGGCTCCCTTATCTTGTTTTGTTTACTTGCAACAGAGAGGTATTCAAATATCAAAACAAAGATTTCTTACAATGGAATTTTCTACTCTACTTAGTATAGTAGTATTGTATGGTAGAATAGTATAGTAGCTTGGTCCCTTTTGTGCTTTTTTTTACAGAATAAATCTGAGGATATGGTATTGTTTTTATTTTCATGGTGTATAATATCGTATTTCTAATCAAAATGTTGTACCATCATTAATTACTTTGAATATCAAGGAATAGAAATCAAATTTCACAACCTACCGCGCATACAAATTCCAGAACATTTTTTTTGATCAGATTTCGGTTTCTTTATAACACAAAAATGGACGTAGACATTTAAATTAAGTAACATATAAAGGACGACTTGGTGAGCTGTACAGAGTGATCGAGATAAGAGAAATAGAAATTTTTCATATAATAATTGAAAAAGTACAATCCGAGCGAACATTATTTTACGGAAAATACAAACATAAATACATTACCTTCGTTTCTAAAGAGCTGAGAAAAAATAAACAATGATAACAACAAACAAAAGTTTGATTAAGCGGAAGAAAAAGAGGAAACCCTTCCAAACTGGAAAAAATACATTATGTAGAAGTGGGAGTCGAAATATTAATCATTTTGATTAGGAAAAATTAAACAATAAAAATAATGTGTATTTATTAATATCGTTTGGAAGGATTTCCTCTTTCTCTTCCTCTTTTTCAAATACTCCGATTTAGTTACTGATATCGATAATTATCGATGATAGTATCGATAATTAATTGATTAATATAGGACGTGTACAAATACATTTGCATGTAATATATGCTCTTCAAAAACAGTTATTGGAATGCCCAGGAAAATTGCGATTTAAAACATGTCCCGGAAATCATCAAAATTAACTTAAAAGATATTCATTGAAATATATTGAGAACTTTGTTTTGAATTTTAAAAAATTAAGTTTGTAGTTGTACTTTTCAAATACGTGCTAAGTGCGTTGATTCCAAAAGAAGAAAAACACGCTTTCCCGAGGTGTTCACCTGTGACGGTGTGGAATCATGTGACATATTATCTATTCTTAGCAGGTCAACAAGAGGTTAATTCTATGAACATGCTGGTCAACAATGACCCTAATTTCAATCTATGTAATGCAAAAAAACACCAAAAAAAGAAACCCTTTTGGATCATCAAATGTGTATGCACATGTAAATGTCTTCGGGATTAAAAATTTTGAACATAATCTGGTGATTTACAGTTATACATAATAAAACACTTAAAACAGTCAGGAGTGTTATAGTTTGTCTTTTACAAAGAGAAACTAACGGTAAATATATATTTACATTTCCAATAAATTTCCCCTATGATTGTTAACAAAATAAAATGCAGTATATTTTCTCATGAACTACATTAAGTATGTATCACGAGTAAGCATGAATATCTCCATTGTTTCGTCATAATACCGCTCTTGACGTCAAAAAGTCAAAAAATATAGTGCACACTTTTTTGTTTTTTTTAAAAGAAGGAAAAGAAGTGGAAAATCTATAGAGATGAAAGATATGTAGAGCTCTAATCAAGCTTAAATGTGATGAACCTATCTTGTCACGTCACCTAACGTCAAGCTATTGCTCCGTGAATGCTAGGACCGCACAATGAAAATTATTGTAAATATATTATTCAAATTTTAGGTAATTACCCGATTTAATACATGCTAATGGACAAATACTAGGAATTTGATCAGACATACGTCATACTTGAAATTAATCAATACATGTAACACTTCCGTAAATCAATGTGTGTGCAAACTTTTCTAACAACCCTCGAATAGATTTAGAGAATTATTTGATTACCGGTATTAAGAAAAATAAAACTTCTATGGTTTCCTGAGAAAAAAAAATAAAAAGTTGAAATTAGGAGCTTGCTCTTTATAACTTTCAGCAAATGATATATAAATACTCTAATTAACAGAAAGGAGGATCTTTGTTGTGACGGTTACTATCAAGAAAATAGAACATGCAAAGGTATTAAAAATTAAAATAAGCAAGTACTTAACAGTGTATTTACAACAGAAACGATAATCATACTTCTCAACTCATTCATTATGCAATAATTACACTCTGTTTCTTATTTATGATAACAGTTTGTCCAAGAGGGTGGTATGGCAAAAATTGCACAAGAAAGTGCCCCCCAAACTCATATGGAGAATTATGTGGTGAAACATGTAAATGTACATTTGAGGAAAAGTGTGATCAAGTACAAGGATGTATGTTGAATATTATTTCTTTCAAATCAATGATTCTTTCGAAGATGCGAAAGTTTGCTTTCTAAACCTTTGTAGCATAATTCTAGTGTATTATGAAATTTCTTTATTTAAGACAGGTATGCCAAGAGGAATATGCACTGGTGTTAACGGGTGAGAAATCTTTTTTTGTATTTGCATTGATTCTGAATTATCAATTCAAATAAAAAATACAGTATTCAGAATAAATTAAGTTTTATGTTTCTAACTTATATCTTAACCTTGCATCATATTCCTTCCTATTTCAGGAAATTCAAATGTTGTTTCAATTACTATCAACGCGTCAAAAATAAATGCACAGGTGTGTTTTAAATTTTAAATTCATATATGTGTTACTTTATTATGGCAAAATGGTTAAATCTATCAGAGAGAGAGAGGTCTGTTCAAGGGTTGTTCGGAAAATCCACGGACGATGTCAATCTTCTCTATGATTTCTTCATGATTGATTGATTGTTTAACGTCCCTCTCTAGATATGTTTTCATTCATATGGTGTCGCCAACACTTGTCGATGAAGAGCTGCAAATTTTGTCCTAAACACGGCACTCAGGGTCATTGAGCAGGGAGGGATCTTTTTCATGCCAGCTAACTTCTACGACACTCCGTTCATACTTTATCTACCGATGGATTGATCTCCACGTCCCACAGTGGGAAATTTCTGCACGATATTAAATATGAGCACATTATCATGTGTCATTATCATGTGTTAAAATATTTAATTTGTTTATGAGTGTAGTTTTATTCCATGTGCTTTGATAGAAGTCGTGTTATTATGTCCCCGCTTGAAAAGCGGGAGGGTATATAGTGATTGGGATGTCTTTCTGTCCGTACAAGTACATCTGTCTGTTGTTTTCCCACCAATCGAAATGAAATGAATTACAGAATCTTTGCTATATAATTATATCGTGCCATTGTGCACCTTGAAATTTACTTTTAGAGCGGATACATATTTTGCAAAACATATTTGGCAAAACATGGACTTTGTCATTATTACAATATGGGACACGGGAGCAGGGGTTATAATGTAGTAAGTTCATTGCTCACGCTCACAGTACCTCTAGTTTAATTTTAAAATCAACTTGTTTTTGAGCAGAGCTACTCACTGATCAGCAACATTGTAATGTCAAAAATACACGGTCACGAGGATTCCGAAAGTACTCTCATTGTGCGTTTCACAATGTGGATACCAGTGCCCTTGATCTTTTGGGCATATTTTGTGCTTTTTCCAGCGTTTTAGAGTGTTTTTTTTTCAGAGACCAACATAAAGTCATATTGTTTACTGGTGCTCCATGACATATTATCCCATCATTTTTGCCTTTTTCAATGAGTACAACTATACCTCTGAACATGATTTTTTTTTCAAGGAAACACTTACGGGGTCGTAATTTAGATTTTGAAACGATGCCACAATTTTCCGTGTTTGCAAAATTTTACAGAAGATATAACAACAATTTTATTTACTTCGTGTATTCTAACATTGTAAACAACTTCAGTCTGACCTTTTTTCTGCTCTGCGATCTGTCTTTTGTAAATTTAAATTAAAAAAAAAAGATTGAAAGAAATTATGATATTTCAAAATATCTTCAATCATTTAGATGAATTTATTGCTCAAATATTGCTGCCAAATTTGGATACGATATGGTTTTATGAAAAAAATTATGACAATAGTCCACGAACTATCTTAGCAACCCTCGTATTCGGTATTTTTGCATTTTTAATTCGAAATCTTGACTGTTCCTTATCTTCATATTTACATTATAATAATTAAGATTCTTCTCTTTAGATGTCTATCATTGAACATTTACAGTTTGTCACCCAGGCACTTATGGCAATAATTGCGAAGAAATATGTCCTAATGGAACATTTGGCTATTTATGTCGAGATAAATGCAATTGTAACCAAGATGTTATCTGTGACAGTCAATTTGGTTGTGTTGATCAAGGTTAGTCTTTTTGTACTGCATGTATCAATTCACTAATCTTATAATGTTTAAAAAGTCCGATTTTTACTCATGCATATACAGCTGTAGAGACGTCAATGTCGGGCGGTAAATAGCTTCTTATACTAATGCTCGACTTAAGGACCATTGAGCAGCAAGGTCCTTATCGTGCTGATTTTTTTCAAGACACGGAAACTTGGATTAAAAAAAAAAAAAAAAGACCCCTCACTTCTGAATTTCCTTTCTAATACCGCCAGGGCTTTGCGAAGAAATAGACAATGTGTATATTTACGTCTTAGGTTTGACACAATACAATTAACATGAATCGAACCCGATCCTAGCCACTGATCAAGAAATCCTATTATTAGGTAACGGTGATATGTGACACATATTTGAAAGAACCATTCTTGGTCAAGTTAGGTATTAGTAAACTGTATACATGTTGAAATATCATTATTAAAATAAAAGACGTCGAAATCTTATAGAGGTTTATTTGAAAATGTTCATAATTGTTGTGAACATAACATTGTTATAATCTCTATGACATCATAATTAGTATTATGACATCATTGTTCAGTAAAATTATTTACATTAACATAATTGTATTTATCAAGGTAAATTAAGAAACGTAGTAATGGTTATAATTTATAAAAATCACAAGGATTTCACTGAAACATCAGAAAGAACATTTAGCTGAAATTTAGAGAATGAAGGAAAACTCTTTTTTAAAGGTTTACATTCAATTTGAAAACATTCTAGTGACTGATGAGCAAATATATCCAAGATAATCTTATATTAAAACAAAAGAAAGATGTTTTAATCTTTGATTCACACTCGCGATGAAATTAATAAAAGTAATTGAAATAGATACAACCATGTACATGGATTACAAACTATTCAGAAGAAAGATATTTTAATCTTGGTTTCAAACTCGCGATGAAATGAGTAAAAGTAATTGAATTAAATACAAGCATGCATATGTATTACAGACTATTCAGTGTTACTAATTTTTGCCACCCCCCTACTCTTCAAAAAAATAAGCAAGAAAACAACAAATCATAGTGTCTTTGAAATAAAATGAATAAACCAGAAACAATTCTGATATATGCTTTCCAGCTTGTCCACCAGGATTTTTTGGCTCCAACTGTTCACATCGTTGTCCCGTTGGATGGCATGGATTATTTTGTAAAGAAAAATGTTCCTGTGAAACTGACTGTGATCCAGACCTTAAATGCAATACCACAGGTTAGAGAACATAATACACAGTTTTTTCTGTTGTAGTAAAGATAACATGTGATAAGAAATGTATAATTATATGTAAAATTTAAGAAAAAATTAAGTAAAGTGGAAACAACTGTTCTAGCTATATTTTTATATATAAGATCGAACAATATCATATAACCTCTATGACATCATACATGTAGTATTATGACATCATTTTTCAGTAAAATTATTTACATTAACATGATTATATTTATTAAGGTAAATTAAGAAAAGTAGTAATGGTTATAATTTAGAAAAATCATAAGGATTTCACTGAAACATCAGGAAGAAGAACTATAGTTTACGGTTCGTTAAGTATAGTTTTCATCTGTAAAACTATATTTAACAGTTGTTAACTATAGTTTACGAATGCTAATCTAAGTTTATCTGTCTGTAATAAAACGTTAACAATAGATTTTGTTGATAAACCATACATGTAGATTCACGTCTGTAAACTATAATTTACGATCGTTAACTATAGTTAAGAGTTGTAAATCAAAGTTTACAAATCGTGAAACTGTATTTATCAGATAATCTATGTTTTGCTATCGCAAATGATTATTTTTGATGATAAGTATAGTTTAAGGTTGTGAAACATAGATTATCGCGTGAACTATGGTTTATAGGATGTAAAATATAGATTAACGTTGTTAACTATAGTTTTCAGTCCGTAAACTATAGTTTACAATCGATAAACCTAGTTTATCGACTGTGAAACTATGATTAGCTCATTTTTGTGAATTTGGCGTGTTAAAAATAGTTTCACAATTGATAAACTAGGTTTATCGACTGTAAACTATAGTTTACAAACCGTAAACTATAGTTAACGAATCGTTAAGTATAGTTTTCATCGGTAAAACTATATTTAATGGTTGTTAACTGTAGTTTACGAATGCTAATATATATTTATCTGTATGTTATAAAACGTTAACAATAGATTTTGTTGTGAAACATAGATTCATGTCTGTAAACTATAATTTACGATCGTTTACTATAATAAAGAGTTTTAAACGTTAACCATAACCGTGAAACTATTTATCAGATAATATTTCCATTTCTAATTTTTTTCTCTGTGATAACTGTTTGAAAGTTGGGGGAATTTATTTCTTGATAATTCTGCCGGAATGTAAATTAGGCAGATCGATAGATCAGAAGCTAATGAGGCCTAATACGCATGCAAATATCATGCGCATCTGTCTGTGTGTCTGACGCTAAGGGGGCCTAATATGCATGAAAATCTCGTGCGGCTGACTTTGTGTTTGACGTCAGTGTGCGAGGACTATTGAAATTGGCATGGAAGTCCTCGTGTAATTATTATTAATAAATCTATTAGTCTACATTTTTAATGTCTAAGTTTACAATTTTATTTCACAATGAAATGAAAATATAAGGAATCACTGTCTAGTTTGGAGAGTATGTCAGTGAAATCAACAAAAGTGGGAAACGTGGGATAATTTTAGCATAACGGGCTTCGCCCGTAATGCAAATTATCCCATGTTTCCCACTATTGTTGATGCCCTGACATACTCTCAAAGCTAGACAGTGATTCCTTAAATCCATCTTTTGCAATCGCAAATGATTGTTTTCGGTGTTAAGTATAGTTTACGATTGTGAAACATAGATTATCGCGTTAACTATGGTTTACTGATGTAAAATATAGATCAACGTTGTTAACTTTAGTTTACAGTCCGTAAACTAATAATATTAAAAGTTTACAACCGATAAAACTTATTTATCGACTGTGAAACTATGATTAGCTCATTTTTGTGAATTTGGCGTGCAATATCAGTCATATTATTCAACACGGAGTATGGTTTGATTAACATAGGGCAGATGGAGAGCCCACATATTGTTTTGGTTAAAAAAATATACATGTACATAAAAATCATATTTAAAATCAATAAAAGTTTTTGCAACATCGCCTTGAATATATCTAAAATATAGCTAAATTAAGCACAAACACAGGTTTTAAAAACTTATTAGATCGATAGAGTTTTCATGGGCTTTTTCAAGAATTACAGACCCGCAATACAATAAAATTATTCTTCAATGTAATAAATGGAAGACCATCTTGCCATTTTTCGACAATTGAGCTCCAATTTATTTTTCTTCAATTATAGGAGATGGCCTTTTTACAAACATGATTTGAATTTCTCATAATGATAAAACAGAGGATGATTGATTGATTATATACTGTTTAACGTCCCTCTCCAGAATATTTCACTGATATGGAGACGTCACCATTGCCGGTGAAGGGCTGCAAATTTAGGCCTATGCTCGGCACTTACGGCCTTTGAGCAGGGAGGGATCTTTATCGTGCCACACCTGCTGTGACACGGGGCCTCGGTTTATACGGTCTCATCCGAAGGACCGCCCCATTTAGTCGCCTTTTAAGACAAGCAAGGGGGTACTGAAGACCTATTCTAACCCGTATCCCCAGAAGATAATAACTTTTTAAAACAATTCAAGCATACGTGTACTTATTGAAGTAAATTGTTTTATTTGCCATGTACTTATTAAAGTAAATTGATTTATTTGGCATGTACTTATTGAAGTAAATTGATTTATTTGGCATGTACTTATTGCAGTAAATTGATTTATTTGGCATATACTTATTGAAGTAAGTTGATTTATTTGGAGATAAAATGCTCAATTATTACTTAAAAGCAGAATAGCCTTTTTTGAAAAATAAACCTGTACATAGAATGTGTTTTCTGAGATTATCAAAACTGAATAAATTACGGAATAAACTCGACATTTTGATATACACTGTAAATGTATCGACGATGTACGTATTTGTCAATTAACAATGGTTCTTTCCATTCTTATGTCGATACGATAGTGAGCTTGAGATGAAAGATACCACAGAGTCTGATACATCTGTTACATATTTGAACATTTTACTTGAAAAAGACGTTAATGGTTATCTAAGAACCAGGCTCTATGATAAACATGATGACTTTATCTTTTAAATCGTCAACTTCCCATCTTTTGCAGCAACATACTTTTATCACTCCAGTTGATTTGATACGCAGAATTAATTATAACGATATGTATTGCACGCCAAATTCACAAAAATGAGATAATCATAGTTTCACAATCGATAAACTAGGTTTATCGGTTGTAAACTGTAGTTTACAAACCGTAAACTATAGTTAACAACGTTAATCTATATTTCACATCTGTAAACCATAGTTAACGCGATAATCTATGTTTCACAACCGTAAACTATACTTTACACTGAAAACAATCATTTGCGATTGCAAAACATAGATTATCTGATAAATACAGTTTCACGATTTGTAAACTATAGTTTACAAACCGTTAACCATAGTTAACGATCTGATAAATATAGTTTCACGATTTGTGAAACTATGATTAACAACTCTTAACTATAGTTTACGATTGTAAACTATAGTTTACAAACGTGAATCTATGTTTATCAACAAAATCTATTGTTAACGCTTATTACAGACAGATAAACTTAGATTATCATTCGTAAACTATAATTAACAACCGTTAAATATAGTTTTACAGATGAAAACTATACTTAACGAATCGTTAACTATACTTAACGAATCGTTAACTATAGTTTACGGTTTGTAAACTATAGTTTACAGTCGATAAACCTAGTTTATCAAATGTGAAACTAGGTTTATCTCATTTTTGTGAATTTGGCGTGCCATAGATATGCGTAAGGGAAACAAAACGTATTATCTTGCCCCCTATATAAACATCAAAGGATGACTCATTTTAATATTTCATAGACGATATGATTTGCTAAACTTAGCTTGTTATTTAAGGGGTCTGACTGGAGTTTCCAATGCGCAATACTTCGTGAATCATACTAAAATGAATCGTATTTTACCGTTTAAAGCAATTTTTCCACCTTAAAAAAGTACAGGGTTTATATCCTAGTTGATTTGATACGCCGGAGCATGCTCTACTAATATACAATTTCTAAACTGAGGTACATGTAAATAATCATTGACAAACAATTTGATGACAAAAGAATATCAGTAGTCTCTTTTTCAGTCATTATTTCGTAAGTTTTATCGTCGATACAACGACCTTTCCAGCATTTACAATTGATCTTTGAGACAAATGCTGACTGACGTTTTTCATACCAATTTTTAGGCCATTTGTATTTATTAGTTAACCATCCATTCGTATGTCCGTCCGTCTGTGAGTCCGTCTGTTACGGATACCAATCAACAGAGCATATTAAAGTTTCAAAGTAGTTTATTGACGATTTTTTTTGTTTTTATGACGTCACAAACTAGTCCGATTTTATGTCATTTTTAGAATGAGAATATAATGGACAAAATTTCAACAATTTTGACTTCAAAATTTATAGAGCGCAAGTTTGTTCAGGAACAATATTTACATATTTCAAAGATATTATCATCCTACACGTTATATCAAAATATTGACCCTAATAAGACCTGTGCTTGGTGACTTTTACACAAAATATGGACGTAATATATACATTTTTCTGTAGAAATCATGGAAATTTTAAATTTACGTCATTTTCGTGACGGCATTTTAAACATATGACATCGTTGCTTATAAAATGTTCAGTGCTTTAAAGTCAGCATATATTCCACTGTTTAAGAACAAAATAAAATATTTCTTCGTCAAAGTTTGAAGTGGGGGCAAATATTGGTTACTTACGCATAAAGTTCTTTAACGAGACTTTCACAGAATCTTTGTTACAAAGTGCCACTGTGCACCTTCTATTTTACTTTTTTATATATAACACACATTTTGGGTTTCCCAGCGCAAAATATGGGCACGGCAATTTTTTATATAATATTGAAGGACACATTTCTGTTATTCGCAACTCCTCCTATACCACTGAAAAAATTGATGACACTTTCAAGATTTTTTATTACATAATAATTCATAGGTAATGACAAAGTCTTTTTTTGCTCTGGTAAACCCAAAGTACATGTTAGTGTTAGATCAAAAATTAA